TTAGTCCATAAAAGAGACTTACAATTGACACACCTTTCTTTCTTTTCCCAGAACCACCAAACCCTCAGGTTTCGGTCCATCGTAGGATTTCTTCCTCTAAATCCACCAATTTAAGAAGGCTGTTTTTTACATCCATTTGACTTGGTGATTTGAGAGATCAGTAGCAGAGGCGGTAAGGCGGCTGATGTAGGCATCGCAGATGGATTGTAATTCTTTGTTACCGGCGAGTATGTGTCAAAAAGTCAAGACCTCTCGTTGTCTTAAATCGCTTTAGCAACAGTCTGCCTTGTATTTGTTGCAATCAGTACCATCGTCTTTCATTGTTGCTGTCTGAAGAATCGCACTGGTTAAACCCAATGTTTGTACCTGGGAGGAAGATCAACCAATTCCCCAAGTTGGTTGCCTCAATATGGATTTTATCTCACTATGACAGCTTCTCTTCCAATATTGTGCCTCTGAGAGAGGACATTGCTTCCTTGAAGGTACGAGGCTCATTTTCTAAGCAGAAAAGTCAGAAAAACGTCTGGAAGACCGAATGAAGTAGATGTCCTTTGACGTTTACTTCTTCTCGGATTTTCTTCATTAGGCAGTACCATCTATATTATTCCTCCCCGGAGTCGTTTTTGCTTTTGGTAAGGTCACTTCACTTTGCCTTTTAATATCGGATAAATAGTTTCAAAGAATTCAGCATTATCTGATTCTATTATCGTATTTAACGTGAATCTCTGGAATTTTCTATTTATCTAACACAAAACCGATATGCCTTGCTAGTTGGGTGGTTACGATATCCAATAAACACACAATCAACCGTTTTTGGACCTATTCTAACCCTTTTAGGTTTAGAACTTGTACGCTTGAGCTAAACAGCCGGGGCGCCACACTTGAAGTATTCAAGCTAGGCTTCCTTCCTTTCCCGACTTCTCATAAGGAATGGATTGTGTTTTACTATGAGGTACACGTTGATTAGGTTCGGTTAGCTGTGAAGGTATAGCTTCCCCCACAAGTTCTGTGGTAAGCCAGAAACATATTAGCAAATGCATTCATCATCTCCTCCTTCAAACTTCCGATTCCTTCCCTTCTCCGCAATTCCATTAAGATTGTGGAGAGTAAGGGGCAGTGTTTGGTGAATAATGCCATTTTCCAAACATTATTTCTTCAAAAGGGATTTCATATTCGCCACCCCTATCACTCTCTTATCATTTTTATCTTTTTGTTTAGTTGCTTTTCAACTCACTCTTGTATTGCTTGAAAGCATCAATTGCCTCATCTTTACTATTAAGTAAATAAACATTAGCCAGTAAACTCTTTGCTATCAATCAATAAAAAGCTAATAAAATACTTTTTCCCACCGCGAAGATGGTGTGATTTCATGTTGCAAATATCTGTGTGAATTAAGTCTAAAGGACATTGAATTCCTTTTCAACGGACTTATAAGGATGCTTAGCAAACTTTGATTCCACACATATTTTGACATTAGAATTAATCAATTCATTCTGCAATACTTCAGATTTATCATCTTTCGCCAATGTTTTGAAGTTTACCGTTGAACCAAAACGCGCAATGCCATAAAAGTGTGACTCAAGCAAGTACAGAAGAAGCATTTCACTTTAATTGAATATGAACTGCTATTTACAATTTAGGCTTAAAAGCCCTTCATTCAGGTAACCTTTTTCTACATACTATCATTCTTACTTAGTACAAACATGATTGGAAAACAAAAATACATGTTGAATCCATTCTTGACAAGAAGTGGAGGTAGACACAAGATTCTTGCGAATTGCGAATTTCTGGAACATGGAGGACTTGGTTTAGAGTCACTATTTTTCCCGACGTCATCTTCAACGCAATCTTGCCAACTCCTTCAATTTTGGCCGTAGATGAATTTCCCATGAAGATTGTCTCGTCGGGACCTGCGGGGGCATAAGAAGAAAATAACTCCTTGTTAGCACAAACATGGCAGGTGGCTCCAGAATCTATCCACCATTCTTTCGGATTTCCTACCAAGTTGCATTCAGACAACATGGCACACAAGTCTTCCATTTCATCTTCAACCATGTTGGCTTGATTCTTTTTCTTCTTACCATTCTTTGGCGCACGACAATCCACTGCCTTACGCCCAGATTTTCCACAGTTGTGGCAATTACCCTTGAACTTCTTCTTACTTGGGTAATTCTTTGGTCCAGAAGCTTTCTTCCTCTTCTTATTTTGTGGTGCCTCCTCAACAATGTTTGCCCCCATTATTGTCGAGTGTCCACGTGACTTCTTTTCAGCATTTTTGTTGTCCTCTTCTATCCTCAAACGAACAATCAAGTCTTCTAGTGTCATTTCCTTCCGTTTGTGTTTAAGATAGTTCTTAAAATCCTTCCACAGCGGAGGTAACTTCTCAATGAAAGCAGCGACTTGAAAGGCCTCATTTATGACCATACCTTCAATAACAAATTCATTATTAATAACAAGATAAATCTTATTAATAAAATTATTGATTTGGGTCATACCTTCAGCAAGGAGGTCATGTACAATGACTTGTAATTCTTGGACTTGAGTTATGACCGACCTAGTGTCAATCATCTTGAAATCCAAGAACCTTGCAGCCACGAATTTTTTAAGTCCGGCATCCTCAGTCTTGTACTTCTTCTCAAGTGCATTCCATAACGCTTTTGAAGTTTCCATGACACTATAGACATTGTACAAGCCATCTTCCAAACAACTCAAAATGTAATTTTTGCACAGGAAATCAGAATGTTTCCATGCTTCAGTTACAACAAGTCGTTCATCATCCGGAGTATTTTCAGCCATGACCGGTGGATCCTCCTTGATGAAACGTTGCACACTCAACGTAGTAAGATAGAAGAGCATTTTCATTTGCCAGCGTTTGAAGTCAATACAGGAAAACTTTTCGGGTTTTTCTGCCGGTGCCATAACATGAGCAGGAGTAGAACGGCTTGACGAGGCAGCAACACTCGTAACAGTAGCACCCGTTCCCGCAACACTTCCATTAGTTTGGTTTTCATTCGTCATATTTCTGTAAAGTTGAAAACAATACAGAACTTTGTTAAATCAGTGAAGTTTTGATATCTTCAAACTGAATATCAAACCAAACATACAATACGTAACAATGGTGAAGTTTTTATATACTTCAAACCCGTACGTTTATTATTCCGGCAAAGTTTTTATGTACTTTAAACCGGATAGGAAGAATTATTGGAGTAGAAAGCAACAAGGCTTTAGTCTCCAAAACAGTATACAAAATATGAATAACAGTTTAATATATGTTTCAACACAGAAACGTTAGTATTATAAAATTCCTTAAGCTTGTGAGTTACTGTGTTAAACCAAAAATCAGGAAAAACTGTTAGGAGAATTAAAGAAATCTGAAAATAGTAGAAAATCAGAAATATTCCGAGTCCACAAGTTTCTTGTGTGTCCTTAAGGAATTTTAACCCCCTCACACGTTGCCAAGGTAATGGATTAAATCCTCCCAGGATAAAACGGAATAAACCTTCCTGCAACAGTGGCAATACAAATTGCAGGATACCAACGAACTAAAAGCACGGAGCAAAATCACACTTACGAATTTGAGAGAGAGAGACTGCGAATTAGGATGCAGTATATTCAGAAAGAAAGGAGTTCTGGAGTGTTTTTCATGTATAGAAAATGGAGCCTTGCCTCAGAATTTATAGGCAATTATCAGAAGAGGTGTCTGGAAAAGGTGCCTTTTCAGAAGAATACGCTGCCTGCCGCGGTTCTGCCGCCACCGGTGTCTGGAAAAGGTGCCTTTTCAGAAGAATACGCTGCCTGCCGCGGTTCTACCGCGTGGCGGCAGAACCGCGGTCAGAGAAGCTCTCTGAATCAGCCTGCCGCGGTTCTACCGCGGTCAGAGAGACCCTCTGAACCTTCAGCAGGGTTCTGGCGTATTTTCAGCAGTGATTTGGCATTTAATTAATTATCAGAGAGGCCCTCTGAACCTTCAGCAGGGTTCTGGCGTATTTTCAGCAGTGATTTGGCATTTAATTAATTATTAAATAATTAAATAAATTTTTTCCAGAAATAATCTTATCGATCGATCATTTTTCAAATCCAAATCCAAATCCAAAGCCGAAGCCGAAGCCGAAGCCGAAGCCGAAGCCGAAGCCGAAGCCGAGCCGAGCGAGCGACGACGACGGCGCGATGGTTCGTTCTCTTCAACTCCTTTTAAGAGCTTTAAGAAGTGATTCTAAATATAAGCACACAAATGTGGTTGTCACTCACCAATGAGGGACAAAGTGCAAGACAAAAGTTCACTTCTTCAAATTTTCAATTTCCCTCCATTTTCAATTCACACTTCTTCTACTTTAAAGCCCAATGGCTTAAAGTCCAACAGCAGTTGCCCAGAAAGAAGAGAAGATGAAGGTATTTTCTGTAGCTGTTACAGAAATTAAAATATTCTACGAAGAAAATAATGATTAGCAATATGAATTGTTGGTTAAGAATTGAGTCAATATGGCTAATGGTCATCCTATTTATAGGCAATTAGGGAGGTTGCATGTATGACAAGTGTGAAGAGTCTTTTAACACTTGTCTAAATATATTAGTCCACTTGGCTTCAATATTAATAAGTTTACCTAGTCTTCCAACACATGATAGATTTGCATAGCCATTTGTCAAAGCCATTCAACACTTGGCTTTAAGGCTTCATGCAAGAAGCCACTGGAAATAGGTAGAACTAGGGCTGCTTATTGGGCGGATTGTGCGGTTATTTACTCTTAACAGTTTGACTTATCGGTTATCGTCTTTTAAATGTATTAATTCGCTAGCCACCCGATAGGATATCGGACGAATTGGTATCGGTTTATCTCTTATCGGGTAATTTATCGGCCTAATTCAATCAAAATAAAATAAAATTTTATATACTGGAGGAAGAAGGGTTTGCTAGTTTTGTGGTAAAAGAAAATTATTGCTATTTGTGGCAGCACTTGGTATAAATTCAATTTATGCTCAAGCAGGTTGTTAGATCTCTTGTTGAGCTCACAAAAGACATCACGGGAGCATAGGTTGAGAACAACAAATTATGTGTTTCTGTACACTATCGTAACGTAGATGAGAAGGTATGGATTGTTAATTTTGTTTAAAATCCAAGTAAAAGATTATGTTACTCTTGTTTACCTGTCAGAAGGTTCTTATCCCTTCTTGTGTTGTGCTTGCGTAAATTATAACAGAGTTGGTCAATTATTGGAGAATCTGTTGATGAACTGTTCAAACATTACCCACGTCTACGATTGAGACATGGCCGGAAGGTACCCATCTGAGCCTGTTTCTGCACCGCACTTTGCATGGCAGAAGGAAAGTTACTGTCTTGTTGTATTTAACTCCTCTAACTGTCTGCTCCATAACCTTATTCAGGTTTTAGAAGTCAGGCCTGTGCTTAACTGGGACAAGGGGAAAACTGTTGAGTTCTTACGTGAATCATTGGGCGAGTGGTCTTTAACTGCTTTATGGAACTGTCCTGAAGGTTTTAAGATGTATTATCAATTGAAATTCATTGCAAGTGAAAAAAATAAAACTAACATAATATGCAATTTTTTTTGTTTTGAAGTAAATTATTCACTTTGATAGAGTACTGGAGGAAGAAGATTTTTTTGATTATTTAATATATATATATATGGATAAAAATAAATTTTATATGTATATATATATTCTTAACGGGTTAACGGATTATCCGTTAAGAAAATTGAATAATCCGCCCCCAAACCGATAAGCCGTTAATAAAAAAAATTTCAATTCGTTCCCCGTCCATTAAACCGTTAACCGATACCAATAATCCATTAAGCTTCGGTGTCAATTTGATTTTCAACACCCCTAGATAGAACACATGAAAAGTAAAAAGACTCATGGCTATTGGTTGTAAATGGATTTTCAAAAATAAATTTTTAACTTTACATTATAAATAATACCAACACGGAGAGCATGCACCAAGTTACGGTTATCGAATAAAAAGTTTATAGAATGATAAACTTATTTCCTCTTTTTAATATACGTTTCCTCGTCTAGGAGAATTGAGGATATGGTTAATTCTAGGTAAAAAGACCAAATTTATCCCGTTATTTTTGAATATTATCTATATTTAATTTTTGTTATACTATATGGTCAAATTTATTCCTATCGTTATATTATCCGAACAAATTTATATTTACCATCAACAAACTTTTGAAACTTATCCCCAACCCTAAAGGCAATCCAAAATCTTATAAAAATTATCACAATCTTATAACCTCTTTGTAGAGCTAGCACCTACGGGCGTATCTAGATGGAGTTCTATGGGGCACGTAAACCCATGCTTCCCTCTCTAAATCATGCATAATAATGTTATTTTTTTTTAACAATATTTAAATATGCATGTTTGTACCGTACGTAGCTCAAAGTATCATATGCAAAAGCGGAGCCAGAATTTGAAACTTATGGGTTCAGGATTGAGGATGTGTTTGGTATAACGGAAAATGCTTTCCAAGAAAATATTTTCTTGGAAAACAAGTAGTAATCTTATTCATTTTCCAGTGTTTGGTACGCAAATTAAGGAAAATGACTTCTCAAGAGTATTCATAAATAATTTAGATATAATAAACATGAAGCCATAAACTTTCAAACCATCAACCTTCCGGGTCTACAAATTTCATAAACTTTCGAAACTGCGGAATTTAGAACCCGTAAACTTTATAATTTCTAAACCTGTAAACTTTCAAACACATAAACCTCCGAACTCATAACTTTGGTACTTGTAGAATTTTGAACCTTTAAACCGATAAAAAAAACTAAAACTGAAATATAAATTTAAAAAATATTTTTTGAGGGGGGGGGGGGAAGGGGGGAGGGGGGAGGCAGGGGGGGGGGAACAATGAAAAAAGCAGACATTTGAAATTACAAAAAAAAAAGTAAAATTTTTTTTTAGTCCGGGGGAAGAGGGCTGGGGGGTAGGGGAGAGTGGGGGTACGTGGTGCAGAAAAACGAAACAACAAAACTTTAAAATGGCCAAACAAAAGGTAATTTTTTTTTTGCGGGAGGCTGGGATGGGTTGGGTGGGGTGGAGGGATAGTAGGGTGGGTGGTAACAGAAAATCTGAAATTTAAAAAAAAAAAAGAAGCCTTTTTTGGAGGGGTGGGTGGGTGGGTGGGCTGGTGAGGGTGGGGAATGTTGAGAAGGAGTTTTGGAAAATGTTTTCCCTTCTCTTGACAAAGAAAACATTTTCCTCCAATTTGAAGAAAATGAGTTGATAAGGAAAATGTTTTCCAAAACTTTTAAGTCAACCAAACATGGAAAAATTGAAATACATTTTCCGGAAAATATTTTCCTTCATACCAAACACACCCTAAATTTCTTGTAAGTTACTGGATTCTAACTTAATAATTTGTGCATATTCAATGATTTTCTTGTGGCAAATATAAGATTTGGGCCAAAGTTACTAGGTTCAATCGAATCTGTAACTGAAGGACTGGCTTCTCCCCTGATCATATGATACAATGGTTATCTAGTGCACCTTGCTAAGTGAGGTTGTGAGTTCATATTTTATATCAATCTTATTGTTTCTTTCATATTTTCACCTTTTCGTAAATAGTACACCCATCTTCCCAAACTCTTGGATCCGCCCCTATGCTAGCACCCCCTTAAAGAGTGCTATATATAAAGGGGTATAACGTGAGGGTATCCCAAAAGAAAATTTCGCACTATGACTCCTTAAGTATTACAGTGGTGCAACCTAGACTATTGCATATTCAATATAAATAAAAGGACCAAATGGGGGAATTGATTTGGTCAGTATCATGGTTGTCCTTCAAGATGAGCACTCAAGAGGGGGGGGGGGGGGGGGGTTATATATTCAACGTCTCAGTACAAAAAATGCGAAAATTATCACTAAACTAGTAGTAACAATTTTCTTCATTTTGTTGGGAACATGCCCATGTTGTCCAGCCAAAGGTCCAAAGGCCGAATCCTATTCTCTTTTGATCTCTATTCATATTCAGAATTGGAATCGGTTTTTGTTCCTATTCAGAGTTGGTTTTGGATTTAAGGGAAAACACCACTCATGATCTATAAATAGGACAACTTTGAAGAATTATTCTATGCTCAGATACAAGTCTTTGAAAGACTTAAGAACATAAGAGTGTTTTTTGAGGGAGTTTTCATCAAGAGAGAAAAGAGAAGAGAGAAGAAAAGTATTTGTTTTGCTGTAGATTTTTATTCCGACCAGCTAACTTCAGATCACGTTTTCAATTCGTTAACCATTGGATCGGGCTGAAATATTGAATGATTGTTTGTAGTATCTTGGTATTTAATTTGAACGGTGAAGATCGGATTTGGAGGCCCGTAACATCTGATTTCGGTCCCCGAACAACAGCTTCGTTTCTGTGGGTTCTCTTCTTTCTTCAATTGTTTTGTTGTTGCTCTTGTTGCTCCGTATTTCACACTTGTTGTGCAGCCAATTTGGAGAACTTTTATAACCCTCTTATTGTTATGGTGGAATTTTTTGGATCTTTGTAATCCCGTGATTTTTACCTTCGATTTGAAAGGTTTTCCACTTTAAAATTTGATGTTCTTTACTTTCTTTATTTCCAGGTTTACCTCTTCCTCGGTCCTAACACATTTTCAGTGCCAACAAATCAATTAGTAGTATCTTCTATAAAGACTCAAAGCTGGTGGGTTTGACAATCCTTAAAGAAAGAATATACTCCATCTGTGTCAACTTTTGTAAATTTTTTTGCTTTTCGAGACTCAAATTATATAAATTTTGATCAAAGATTTCGAAATACCTTTTTCATCACATTGAAATGAGAAGAATTTCAACTTATAGTACTTCCTGTATGTTTTCTATATGTAATAAAGTATAACTTTAAAATGTAGAACTAATCTAATCCAACTTAGCTTCATAAATTAATCAAATTGTTTCTCAAAAAATAAAAGGGTTCACATAAATTAAAACGGAGCGTGTACTATATGAGTCTATCATATCCCTTTAAAGTCTTCGTGTACGTTCCCACTCCCAAAAAATTTAAATGGAAAAATAACTCTCGTCCCATAATCCCAAGGGTATTGAGTATTGACTCGGTTGAATTCGCTTGCCAAAACTCAAATTTTCTACTCGACTTCAAACTTTGACCAATACTTAAAAATTCGACTATAGGATAGGCACATATCGACTTTTACCCACTAACAAAATAAAATAGGCAAAATATATAGACCCTCAATTTGAATCTTTCCAAATGTAAAAACTAAACTCATTGTTTATCCATTAAGTATCCAATTTTACGTGGATAATATAAATCTTATCTATATTTACCGTATTTTCTAAAAAATTATTATCCAACTCATTTTTCTAGAGAATAATATGGAACATTTTGCCACCACTAGGCTAAACATACTGGAATTGAGAAATTAAGAATAAACAAAAAGTCATCACTTGGAAACCATCACATTAAATGCCATTTCCACCTTGTTGGAAAAAACAAACACTTGGAATAATTTTGAAAAAAATACTTTTCATCACTGATTTGCTGTGGTATTAGTAAACATACCATTTGACTTATTTCCGTTTTTTACCCTATTAAAAAAAGGAGTAAAAAAAGATTATGCATTACGTGAGCATTATATATCTGGGAGTTAGGTTAATGCGTGGATTTGGTTAGGAGGGTGAGCAGTTCAGTGTCTGAAAAAAGGTACGTAAACTTTGTCACGCATCAAACTTGTGTCAGTCACATGGATATTGAAACTATTATAGTAATATTATACTGTCCTACGTACTTAAAAACAATGCCAAACTTTCATAAATCTATGCCACTAATCTCTGATTATATTAACACACTCATCAGCTAAACATATTTTTAATCAATGCCTTTTATTCCCCCACATTGATGAAAATGTGTATTACTCATCCTTATAATTTATAATTGAGAAACATCGCTCATCATGTATAGTAGTGGCAAAATGAATAAAAGAAAACAATTATCTACTAATATTATCTATTAAAANTTTACTATAATGTAATAAAGTATAACTTTAAAATGTAGAACTAATCTAATCCAACTTAGCTTCATAAATTAATCAAATTGTTACTCAAAAATAAAAGGGTTCACATAAATTAAAACGGAGCGTGTACTATATGAGTCTATCATATCCCTTTAAAGTCTTCGTGTACGTTCCCACTCCCAAAAAATTTAAATGGAAAAATAACTCTCGTCCCATAATCCCAAGGGTATTGAGTATTGACTC